TACACCATATTATTGCTCGCCGGTACGCAAAAACATGTCTGCATCGACTGTATTCACAAAGAAATCCAAGCAGTGAAGTTGTGATTTGTGTGGTGATGTGTTCAAAAGGAGGTCAAGGACATTAATTGAGCTGAACTGTTCCTAGTAGTTGAGCTTACCTATGCCCGGTTGGTTGGATTTAATTCCACTAAGGCGCCGATATCCAAGCCTAGCTCACACTTTCCGTCCAAACATCAGCTCTGGCAATAAAATTCATGAGTAATTCAAGTAATCATCTTGCAGAGAGTGCGGTCGTGCAGTAGATACACTAGTGGCACAGAAACAACCCCTAGCGAAAGAGAAAGTCTTCTGTGCTCCATTTCCCCCATTCGGTTTCCTACAGGCATTCAAACTCAGCGCGATCAACTCATCAACTCAACTTCCCACGGTTCGATCCTGTCGAAAATTGGTTTGACATTCGGTTCGATGGTTCAACCAAGGAGAGATGAAAGCTGCTGAGGATTAAAGTGCAGAATAATAATGTGTGTGCTGGACTCCGACTGACTTGGAAACAGGTCAACGGGTGCCGGCAATTGTTGTTCTCCATCTCGCAAGAACACTCATTTTCCACTTTCCTTCCCCTCTATTGATGATGGCACATCTGAAAATTATGCCCAGTCGAAAAGCCGCCGCGTGGCTACTGGCACGAAGTCACCTGTGCGCGAATTGTGTTGGACATAAAAACTGCAACTCACAGCGCAATTCCTTCCTATACCTTACAAAGGTTAACATCAACGTGGTTCGGCCAAGTCGTTGACCGAGATCTAGATGCCCGAGCACCAGCTCGATTTTCAGTCTCGTTGCAGGATACGAGACCAGAGGGCTATAAAGGGGTTTGTGTCGAAGTTAGGTTGAACGAGTGCTACTATTGAAACTGCACGTTCGTTTACCGTGAGGGCGAGGGTTATTCAAACCGGACAAATACAAGTTGGTTCGAAACAAGAATTTTGTAGAGAATGTAAAATAAAACATCGTATATACTGTGTCGTGAAATTATACAAGAGCACGGCCAAACACCTCAGCGTTGACGCCAACTTTTCCACCCTACAGACATTGGGAGTAGTCTGGGGAGAAAGAAAGAATATCAATCAGTTCCGAGATCCAAGAAGCGTAAGCGTAAACAAGCTCACATGCGTTGAGGCTGGTGCAAGTGAACGGCGAGACACAGGAAGTGGCGCCGGTGAAGCCTGTGAAGTGCTCGGGTCAAAAAACAAAAACTCGCGCAAGTCAGCCTGGAGGGAGGGACGCACCTATACCCCCGCACTGCCCGAACTGCGGGACGCTGCCGCCGGTGGGCGCGGACGTAGTCGTAGTGGTGGTGCCGGTGGGCCCGGTGGGCTGGGTGCCGTTGGCGTTGAACGTCGACCCGATGGGGCCGAACTTGATGTTCGAGTATACGACCTGCGCGTTGGGGCTCTGCGCCTCCACGGTCTTGGGGTCGCCGGAGCTCGCGGAGCACGTTCCACGCCTGGATTTGATTTGCGCTCAGTATAAATATACAGGACCTGGGTAAGGGTAGAGACTCACGTAACACCGGGAGAGCTGGCAGACTTGGTCGGCGGGTAGGGCGCGTCGAGCCAGAGCATGTCAGCGGTGTGGTCGTCCCAGATGGACATGACGAGGACCATTCCAGCAGCAGAGGCACTGGACATCCCAGCCAGCCCACCCTTGGAGGCAAACGTGTTGGTGTCACCGAACGCGGTCTTCTCTGAATTTATCCAACATCAAATGATCAGCAAGTCCAACCCAACAAACATTCGAGCGAGTAACTCACGAGCGGCGCAGAACGAATCGGTGATGGAGTTGCCCGTAACGCCCGAGATGGTGCTCTGCGAGTTGGGGATGACCGCACCGTTCTGCACGTAGAAGCGGTTGATCGCCGTAATCGGGCTCCCGACGAACTGCGTCACGACAGTGATCTTCTGCTTGGTGTCGACGGTGAGGCCGGGGCCGTAGAACGACGTGTCGCCCATGCGGTACGAGTTGAAGTCGCAGCCGGCCTGGTCACACGTGCCTCCGGTGCTGTAAAATAGTTGTGTTCGTTAGTTGTCGATCGCAAGTGTGCTTGAAACATGCGTACGAGCCGGCCGCGGAGCAGGTAGCTCCAGTGCAAGTACTCTGTCCCAAGGTGGCTAAAATTGTAATGCCATGAGCCCCGACTTTCTGAGGAGGAATTGCAGCCAAGACGTACTGCAAGGGTGCGGGGTGAAAGCCGCAGAGATACTGTTTGCTTCCTATAGTGATTTATTTATTAGTTGGAAGGCGATTTGCATAAATGAGACCTGCGAACTCACCCAGACGTCCATTTCCGGGCAACACGTTCCCATGGTTCCAAGGCCAGAGTTTGCTGCGAACGCGCCGTATGAGCGAAACTCCTTTAGTAAGAAGGGGAGGTAGCGTACGGTCATTGGTATCGGGTGTCCATCCGACCGAGTTCGCGACACCATTGATGAACTTGAGGTCCCGGGGGCACTGTGAGTCGCAGTAGCCCGTTCCATACTTGGGTCCCGCCTGCGCTTTATATTAATAAGTGTCCCATAATAATAATAGGTTTAGAGCTCGCCTTGTTCGCGCCGTTGGACTTGGCGACGCCGCCGTCGGCGTCCATTTGCGAGAAGTAGAGCGCGCCGTTGAGGCCACAGGGGAGCTACAAAACAAGGAGGTCAGTGTGGGTCGGCAGAAGGAGCGATAACGAGACGTACCTGAGAGACGTCGACGTCGAAACTGCAGTCGTTGAGCGTCAGATAATCACCGGTTAGAGGAGACTCACGTCTATCGAGAATACAATGAGAAAGATGAGTAATGAGGCTATTGTAGAGGACTCACGAATTCCTGGTTGCGGAAGTCAAAGGTCTGGTACTCCGACGTGCTGCCCGGGGCCAGGAGGTAGACACGGCTGCCGATGTTGGGTTGCTGGCTCACTGCAAAATGTGTCAGCACGGAGATCGAATAATAGTCGACTGTGCAGGAATTTACCAGTGACGAATTTTAGAGTGAGCGCGTTCCCGCTGGTGGAGATGCCGTATGTGCCGGAATAATCAGCGCCTGGAGCGGCATTCATTCAGTTTCGTCATAAGCATTATTGCTGGAGCGCGGACGTACCATCCAGCTCGCAGTTCGCAGCGCAGGTCTTGGCGTCAGGACAGATAGTGGCGTCCCAGGTGTTCCCTACGGGATGAGAACCAATGTACAATTCTGAGAGATAATATCAAACCTGTGTAGCAGTTCACGCTGGCGTTGTTGTGAACCCAGCGCCAGTTCGCGTCAATCACGACGCTGGAGGACTGAGAGGTACACGAGGTACCTGCATGATATTAAGTGAAAAATACGACGAGCGAAGGTTTGCTTCAACGTACCGCCAGTACCGGTACATTTTTGCCAGGTGAGAGTGGGGTGAGTCTCTGCGAGGTTCGTCCCAACCCCTTGGCCGAGAGCGAAAGGAAGGAGAGCGGCGAGGGCGAGGAATCCAGAGGGCGACATTAGACCGTAGGACGAGTGGGTTCAAGTTGAGAACTTGTTTGAAACGGCCGCAGTGGTCGTGCTTTATGTAGGCAGGTCCCTATCGCTATGATGCGTTGGAGTAAGCGCTGCCTTCAGCTGCAAAAGTCAAAGTATTGTTGAAAAAATACCGCACTCAAGTCAATCCGACATCTTTCCTGGTGGTTGACGTAAATTTAGCCCGGGATTGAACCTGGAACACCCCGTGGGGAAGGGATGAAGTGACAGATAGAAGACAAAAGTCGATCCGACATCTTTCCTTATGCTTCGCGTGAACACAAAGAATTGTCCCGGGGTTGAACCTGGAACGATTATTGACCCCGTGGGGACCTGATGGGGAATGGATGAAGTAAGAGATAGAAGTCAATCACCTGCGCGCGTTGGAAGGACATTTGTCGGAGGCTCCGGTCGGAATTTACGGAGGCAGCGGTCGGAATTTGTCGGAGGCACCGGTCGCAATTTTCTCGGTAAGATGAGAACAAGTGACTTGCAAGTTGAACCGCAGACTGATAAGGAGTAACGTTGGTGAGCAAGGTTCTTCGTTGAAGCCGCGTGAGGAGTTCGGCATGGCGAAGTCTCGTGGGCGACCTGCTTTTGGACATGGTGGTCAGAAGGGAAGAAAGAACGCGTCACATGACATAGAACATCCGTTACGGTTTTACGCGGTAAAAAAGTCCGATCAAATATTTAGAACGTCTTGAGAACGTCGGCTCCGCATATTTCGTGCGCGTTGTGATCGAGGTCGGTACTATGTACAAGGTCTTAGTGTGTGCAACGTGTGTGTTGCTTTTTTTCCTTCTTTGCGAGCTCCGCGTCGTGGGCCAGCGATTACTTGTAGTATTGAGTTTCCTTTTATAGATGCCATGCTGCGTGCCGCCAGGTTGCGCTGATTTCCTAGCGCTCCGGTGCAGTTTAAGGATTTACTCTAGTGACTCCTGCACGTGAAGTGCGGCGGAAAAGTACTGTATTATTTCATTCAAATCGACCAGGGGGGTGACGCGTGACACGTTTTACCTATTCGACATTTCGACAGGCGCCGAATTTTTGCGTGACACCCCGAAAATTTCGACATTTTGAACGGAAAATTTCGTCTTTTTTGCACTTTTTGGTAGTTTGCGGACCTGCGTGACCACTTGCCGGTTCGACAGAGGCCCGAGTGACGTGTGACCTCGACCGAAATTCGACATCGACAGGGGGGTGCGTGACGCGTGACTGTCGATTTGAACGAAATAGTACAGTAGCTCTAATTTGAGAGTTTCTGGAGGCACCAAAGGAATCTCCGAGGCGGCAAAATTTGCCGCGGGAGTGCCGATCATCTCGGCGCATCGGCACGCCTCCCGAAAGCCGGATGTGATTGTCCGGCCGAGAGTTGCACAGCCATGGTCAAACTAAAATAAATGATAAGAAATGCAAGAGAAATGAGTCTACGCACTGTCTGGGAAAAAACCTTTACTTTTGACCCATGACCTAACCCCGAATCGAACGGGAGCTTCTACATAAAGAAAATTTCCAGCACACCACTTGAAGCAGGTATGGTTACCATTACACCATCAGGTCGATAAACAAGGAAGGAATGAATTCCACCGAAAGTCCCTTCCAAATTGACTGTAAAGCCTGAGAAAATTGTAAGAACATTGCACTGTTTCATCACCCTTGCTGCCACTGATTGTCTCTAAATATCCTTAGGCCTTGATTCTGGAATTTACACCAAAGTGTAACCTCATTGCCCAAGGCTTGTTAGAATTTCCCGCAGATGTGAATAGATAAAACAATAGATTTTTACAATGAAATCGAGTGACTTTCTAGGTACACAGTCAAAGAAACCCCTCAACAGACACCCAACTCAAGCAGCCACCAACCCAACCTCCACTTTTTCCAATTCATCATCCAATAGATCCTCATCCACTTCATCAACCTTCACCGTAGGCACATTGAGCTGAACCAGTTGAGCTAAGTTTCTTTTGTGCTGCTCCTTGACATCCTCACCAATCCCAACCAACCTCTCATCAATATTGTGAACCCGCTTTGTCTGAGATGAGCACTGGAAGAGCAGCCTTGCTGTTTCCCAGTACTCCAGTGCCTTCAACAAATCACCATGCTTCTTAGATAGATCCCCGAGCTGGATCATACACTCTGCTCTGCTCCGGTGAACAGTGTTGGCAAAGACGGGTCAACGATCAGACGCGTCAGACGGAATTGACGGTGACGGCAGTCTGACGGTGTTTGACTCTGTTTGACGACCACTTTGACGGTGGACCCACAGCCGCGTTCCTGCTCTTCCTCTGTACTCGTAGTTGATTCCCGGGTCCCTAGAGCTCAATGGCGACTGTTATTGACACACAGTGGTGCTGGAATAGCTTTAAAAAGGGCAAACAGAAGTACCGGAACGACCAGAGCCACTACGAGAGTCGTTGTAAAGCCTGCATAGCGCATCGGATGGAAGAGCTCAAAGAGAATGACGAGAGAGAGATTCAGGCGGGGATTCGGGAGTACGCAAGAGGGGAAGAAGAAGTCAAGAAACAAGGTACGTATTGCTCGGCAGATCTCAGGGTGACCGCTCAAATCGGCAAACAGCTGAGACCGACATCGTTCCTGTCTCGGGCAAAGCCGAGACCATGCTCTCGCAGCTGTCAAGCTGTATACACACCGATCCCATTCTCAAGGCCACGGCATCTGCGGGTTCGAAGAAGGAGAATCGTCGCGTCACCCGATTGTCCCGCAATCAGCAGCTTGCACGCCATGCTGTCCTTCAGCCCGGACCGCCTTCCAACATCAATCTCGTGCAGGCCCCGCTCAATGGACTGGTGACCGCCCAGTTACCACCAAACATTCCGTACGCACCTTCAGCTGCTCCCATCGCGTCCTTACAGCACACGATGTGGAACCCCCCGAAACAACAAGAGTTTGCGGAGGACTTGTGCAAACTGTTTGTCGCGTGTAATGTCGCGTGGAATTCGGCCAACAACCCCGAACTCCTCCTCTTCTTTTCAAAATATGTACCCGAAGCGAAGATCCCGGACCGGCGTGTCCTTTCTGGGCGGGTACTGGATACCCTGGTCTTGCAAATCGAGAAGGAGATGAAATCGCAGGTAGCGGGGAAGCTTGGAATGGGGCAGTGTGACGGATGGACTCGTAGTCCCACCGTGTTGGGGGCATCAGGTAATGTCCCGGTGATAAGCCAGCAATTGGGCCACGCGCGGAATTTGCCAATTTTGCTCATTCAGTGCCACTAGCTGTATTGTAATCGGCTATATAAATCACTCAGCAAGGGGCTAGTGTCAGTCCGGGCAGCTAGCTAGGAGACAGCAGCGTATATACTATAAGCTTTAAGGTGTGAACTCACTGGAAGGTCAATACTGGCCGGAAAGTCAAAATCATACTTAAAGCTTTAAGTCAAACCTTCTCTTTTAACAAACCCTCAGGGTTCGTAGGAGTTGGGTGTTCACTCTAATCAAGGACAGGAGGAAATACTATCCATCCGTGACCAGGGTTGAGGAATGGGAGCTTTGCAGGGGCAACCTATGTTGACTAGAACATTTGTCTACGGTAGAGTTGGCATTTCCTGTCAATCAAGCCGAAGATCCGGGGACCGGAAAGGTCCGACGACATAGCCAGGAACAGCACCTCAAAGGGAGCAGTAGCGGCAGCAAGGTCTTGCCGCCGGCTAAACCAAAATCGTGATGCCAAGAAGCTATTAATAGTCTTGACTCGAACAGACTCACATGGCTATTCACGAATGACTCGAATTGACTCGAATGACTCGAGGCTGATTCACCAGGAGTCACACACACCAAATTGGGACGACATGACGAGGCTGGAATATTATTTGGACACGCCAGAAGCGGACATATATTATTTATTTTAATTGTAACAACATCCATGCAGATTATTCTCCTTTTCAAGTCAAGATTCGTATGTAAATTAGTAGATTGTATTCAGTAGGAGTCCGTACCTTCACGGACTCAACGTTTGGACCATTATGTACATTACTGTTTCGAGTTTCCATGTTTTGTAGTATTTGGTATGTAGGATTTAGTATATAAGTAGAGGTAGAGCTTAGGTGGAAGCCAGTGGACCGTACCCTTCTTGTTAGGAGCACAGCATAACGCGTGCCTCCGTCCGGGAAGTCTCACGGAATCCATTCGGTGTACATTTGAGTGTCTTTAGATACTTTGGTGTCTACCAATATATTGGGATTGGATTATATTTGTTGTGCAGCGTCAGCGTCAGCGTTTTTAGTGTCTCAGCGTCAGCGTCAGCGAATATTACAGCGGAACCTGTCAACCTTCGGTTACAGTTCAAACCCAGCGTCGAACTAAGTTTAGTTTACCACACAACCACCCGGTGTCCATCACCGCAAACCTTTTGAAAACCACAACTCTTCTAAGAACTATAAAGGTCGCATCAGCGCCCAATAGGTCCGAGAAACCAAACGGTCGACTTAAAGCTTTAAGTCGAAACCTAGTTTTCAGCTATTGCAACAGCCGTAATACTTCGGTTGGAACCCCACGAACGCATATACAAGCGGAGAGGTGAT